TAAAATAAACTGGTTGTTCTTCCTCTTCTTAAAGATTCTGATGAAAACCAAGTGTTGTAAACATCCATATAATGTTTTTATATAATACAGATATATGATGATGAAATGATCATCAACACCATGACTGACTGTTTCCACCTTGAACTGCAGTGAACCAATCACAGTCTCATAAACACAGATTCAGACAGCCAGGGTTTCATACGTGACAGACCTCAGGAACCAATCCTGTTAACTTGTGGGGACAGGGGGCGGGGCTAAATACACCTGAAACCTTGTCAGTATAGAGATAGCGAGAGTTAGCATTAGCACAACCACTAACACTGTGTCAGCCACTGCCAGTTACAAGCTAACAAACAGCATAAACAAATAAAAGAGGCTAACTACACTAACCGTTCTGAGAAGATGCTAACTAAGCTAACCGTTCTGAGAAGATGCTAACTATTCTTATCGTTCTGAAAAGATGCTAACTACGCTAACTGCTCTGACCCGTCTGCTAGTCTCTGGTTCTGGTCTCAACAGACTCCTCCTCTGAGTCTCTCTGATGTTTCCTCCTCTCACCATCTTGATGCTCTCTGCTCTCTCACCTGTCCACCTGGAGCAACAGGTGGTGGGCGGGGCTCAAGGCCTGATCCAGAGCTCTCAATCAGGAAGTAAGAGGAGATGAAAACATGAAACTAAATGCGATTCACAGCAGAGGAATTTTACAGAGTTTAAAAAAACCCCAGAGGAACTTTAATCCAAACAATGAAGGTAGTCAGAGATAAAACATCTTACTCCAAAATCAGATATTGGTATATATTGATGGTATATATTGATATTTTATATTTTCATTAAACATCATATTTTGCTTGTCTTCAAACTGGATTAGGAAATAATCACAACCTGAGAAATTGTCTTTTTTCATCATGTATCAGACAGACAACCATAAATTTATCAGCATACAGAAACCTACAGCACAGACTCTTACATCATCATAACCTACTTTAATCCATATTCATCACATTTAACTCTCTCTTCTTCCTCTCATCTTGTGTCTAAAACATCTCTAGTCCTCTGTGTCCTGCTGTTATTACAGACATGTCTGAACTGACCGTGATCCCTCAACTCACCCTCTGACTCACCTCTTCTGTCGAGGTGTGACCTTTAACCTGTGAACTTCTAAACCTTATGGGAAACTGTGTCTGTCAAAGGCCACAACACATAAACAACATAATGATGAAAATAACTACATTAAATTATTTCAAACAAATGAACCTCCTCATCCCAACACTTGTTGTGAACCACACAACATCTTGTTCCACGAGGATCTAGTTTCTGTTCATCTGAGTTATTTCAAACGTGATTTTGAATCAGAACACTTAGGTTCCGGTTTCGTTTCAGCTCTTTGCACGTGAGCGATACAAACTGGGGCAAAGAGCAGGACTGTAGTCATGTAGGCGGGTGGGTTTGGTGGTGGTGGGGTGTTTAATCGATGGCACCCCATGAGTATTGGAGAGGCTTTTACTGGATCTGCTGGCAAGTGATTCACACGACTACTCGTCAGCGAGCGGAAGTGCTGCTCAGCGTCACACAATTGGACGGAGCAGTGGAACGCAGGCTAGATAAAACTGAGCAAGCCGTCATGTGACACATGGCAGTGAGAGACGTTTATAAAGAGACAGAAACTGAGAGATGGCGTCTGTAATACATGCTCACTTCATCTGTAGTGATCCATCTAAAACTTTCTTCAGGACAGAAAATCATTAATCTGTCTCCACGACATCTGAAATTATCTGTCACTAATCATTTTATCAAGCAAACCGTTAATAGGGAAAATAATCTGCAGATTAAAAGATAATTATAATCAAATCTTTATTTGTAGATCTGGGCTGTTTCTACAGAGATCTGTCAGACTGGTTCACAGATCAGTCTGATGTCAGTCAGACTGTTTCTCTAAAATAAAGACTGACTTTAAGACAAAAACATTAGACACCTTACCCCCAGACTAGCTGAGGTCTAAGACCAATGTTACCATGGTAACAACAAAACAGCAGGAAAACATGGCTCATAATTTGTGGTTTGCTCATGTTGTTATGGAGAGAGAAAGACAAAGGAAAGAGTTTTATATTTTTCATTTTTATTGTTTCACTCTTCACTGAGTTTCCAAAGTAAAACGTCTTTTAACTGCTGAAACATTTTCTGCTGAAGGTAAATGCAGCTGAGCGGTCGGATGTGGGTCCTCAGTCGGCCATTTAAAAAATTTTAAAAAGTCATAATTTACCCAGAATTCATTGTACCACAGATGAGTGAAGAACTGAACTGTTTGTGCAGATGAATTCAGACGCAGTCTCTGTGAAGTCTGACTGTTTGTTAGATCTGAGACACAGTCACAGTCTGTCTGTGTGAAACCAGCTCTTGATCATCACAGAATCAGATTCTGATCAGATGAAGTGAATGTGAGATTCCTCTCACACTTCATCATCTGTGCGTCACTTTTCTTATTCAGAGAAACATTTTTAAAAGAGGAAATACGACTTCACCCAGCTGTGGATCTGCAGCACCTGACTCTCTGTTCCATCACAACAGAAACAATGCAAATCAAAGAGTCAGAGGAAAAACACTGTTGAAGGGAATTGCCCCAGTCACGTTTGTCCCCGCACATGTTACCGGAGATGAAAACATGATACACCTGAATAATTCAGAGAAAGACGACATGAGGTGAGGAAGAAGCCTCACACGAAGCCTGAGAGGTGTCTGTGTCATGTTTCTGAAGCTGAGCTCTGGTGTTGGCTCAGGACATGATGCGCCACAGCTTGGCTCTGCACCACATACTTTCTGTTTGGGCACTTCACTTCCTCTTTCCCCAGTACAAGAAGTACCGGCCCTGCAGAGTCTCACTTCCTATAAATTATGAATGAATGTCACATGTCAAACAGGGACTGAACCCAGGAGTTCCCCACCGACATGTGAACCAGTCTCTAGAGATGTTTATGAGAACAGTGGTGGAAAAAGTTCTCAGGTCCTGTACGTAAGTAAAAGTAGCACAGCTGCAGCGATCAGTCGAGTCATTGATTAGCTGATCAACAGGAAATTAATCATCATTTTGATAAAGCAATCATCGTTTTAGTCATTCTTTTCAGCAAAGTGACAAATATCTCCTGGTTCCCGCTTATCAGATGGTTTTGTTTGTTATATACGAAAATTAACTGAACTAAATCTTCCACTGTTTTCTGACATTTTAGAGACCAAACCATCAAAAGGAGCCATTTTTGCTATTGCTACATAGCTAACGTTAGCATTAGCAGCTGTTTAATTAGTACTCTGGAAGAAACGTTGTGAGTTCAGCATCAAACTTCATTCCTTTACTCACCAACAGATGAATCCAGCACTGTGTTAACTCTGGTCTCTATCACATCTTTCTTCTACTGAAGTTAGCATGCTAACCAGCTAGCTCTGGCCCGTCTCCTCACTGTAGCCTCAGGTCCACCCTAAAGACGTATTATAACCTCTTGTCCTGTAAACACATCAATGGCCGAAGCTCTTGTCAGCACCACCTGCTCCCAGAACGAAACCACGTTCAGCAGCAGAGAAAACGTTAAACTTTAATTTAGAGGATAATTGGCAGATTAATCAGTAATGGAAATAATTGTTAGTTGCAGCTCTAAAAGCTGCCAGGCTAAAGTGTCAAATAACTTTGAAAATGTTACTTAGGCAAAAGTATTAAAAAAAAAAGTTAGAAATCATATTACACAAGTTAGTTTGACAAAGTAATCTGATTGGACGAGAGTCATTCCATGAGTGCTGATATAGAGAACAACAACACTGGGACCTTTAACTACACGTATCACTCGGCTATCGTGTCCACAAGAACGAGACAGACGGACAACCTGAAAACAAAATGGCTGCTGCTCCGACTGTCGCCGGCGTGGGGGAATAAAAAAGTTAGAAAGTGCAATACCCTCCTCTGATATACAGAGGAGTAGAAGTATAACGTAGCATGAGAAAAATACTCAAGTAAAGTACAAGATTAAGTACAACACTCGCATGAATGTGACTTTCCACCAAGTAGCAGTTACAAGAGGAATGTGTTTTCATTTTCCTTGTGGGAGGAAACACGATGTGAACACTCAGTGAGAAGCCATAAACGCTCTATGATCAAACACTTAATCCAACAGCAGCCAAATAACCACCACTGAATAAATCACCAACACTCTCTGATGTGCAGCTCGCTCCCCTCAGGCTGTATATCTGTCTGCATTATGGAGCAGTTATGTAACCTACAGGGTTAGTGGACCACATCTCTGACAGCTGGACTCATCACTCCCTCAGCTCAGATGAACATGATGTCATGTGTGATTTCTCTGAATTTATGTAATTCTGCTGCGTACAGTCACCTTCATGATTGTGACCTCATCAGCTGCAGAAGTCCGGTAATTATTCAGATCACAGAGCACATGGTGATTTCTGCAAATTACATGGATTTGTGTGTTTTCTGACCTCTCTGTGGATTACTGGGGTCAGAGTCAGAGGCTGCAGCTGTTGCAGGGGGAAGCTGAAATGTACCAGTCGTGACATACATTTCTCCACAACCTTTCAAAATAAAACGACTGCAGGAAAGACTGGGGTCGGCCCTTTCTTTGGTCTGCAGGCAGCCATGATGAAAACAGCATCAGCTCTACTCTGAGGCTCTTTGTACTCTTCCACTATAACTGACTTTAATCCCTTTGTATGAGCCGTGATCAGTCAGCCGGAGTTTTCCATTGACAGAAGATTGGGGGGGGGGGGGGTGGTGAAGAACCACCCCACCCCCCCCCCTCTTCTCGTCATCCCCGCCTCCTACAGACAGGAGTATATGGGCTGCAACGGAATCCCGTGACGTCACGCCTGCCAAGTGGTTGCCATAGTTACAGTGGGTGACGAGAAAAGGGGGTGCGGCCTCCCTCCCCTCCTCTCCCCTCCCTGTACCACGTGTTCCGTAATTATACACAGGCTGGCGCACTCGGTGCTCAGCGGCACTGCAGAGGAGCGGTGGCTGGACAACTACACGTTTACCGGGACACGACACGGTGAAGTCTGAGGGCACTGACTGTCAGAGGAGGACCGGAGCTATCACTGTGTTTCTAAACTTTGTGTTTCTATTGGATATTTATTTCCCGCTCATCATGGCTGTGACTGAAGCTGGATGTGACCTCACTTACTGCAAAATGAGGGGGATTGTCGCGCTTCTCGCCGGTGAGCGACAATAATTATTACAATAGACAGTCATCACTACAGCCGAGTATGTATGTCAACATGATTAGATCAGGCTGTTTCTGTTTATCCATATGCTCTGATTAGTAATTAATCCTAATTGTAAAGTGCTTTTTTTGTTCTACTTTTATTCAAATTTTTCTATAAAAAATAAAGAAAAATTGACATAAATCGGTTGGAAAAAAATAAAAAAAATAAAAAAAAAGAATAAATGAAAATAATGGTAATAATTTGTCACTGAGAAGAAATCTGCCTGAAATTCCCAGAAAGTGTCCGTTTGCAATAAGAGTGTAAAGGGAAACGCTTTATTGGCTGCTGGTATCTGAATCTGAATGAGTGACCCAAGTGGTTGCATAACCTGTAAGCCCGCAGCATTAGAGGTCTCTCTCTGCACAACACGCAAATCTGCCCTATAACAGGATATTTGGACCTCAAGCAGCGGATTACAGCTCCAACACACACATCTTTTCTTCTCTAATGGGAGACAAAAGTCTTTGCATCATGTGTGTTGAATGATGCTCAGACACTAATGCCCCCCACCCCCACCCCCACCCCCTCCTCTGTCTCTCTCCATTTGCAGCTTTCATCAAGGAGAGAAAAATGGGGCTGAATGACTTCATCCAGAAGCTGGTGTCGACTCCACATATCTGCCAACAGTGAGTATATATTAAAGAGGATGTTCTGTTACGTAAATGTTAGATTTGGATCTGGATGGAAAATTGGCCTCAAAATGAGGCACATGGAGCATCTCGGGGCATCAGGTACTTCCTGCCTCTCTGGGCTCTATGGAATTTATTTCTGATCACTGGCCCATTCATGGTCAGTGTGCATCGGGCCAATCCCATCAGCCACCTGAGTTTGGCAGGACATTCTGTGAAAACTATAATCTGGGTCCAAGAAGCCGGGGTAAGAATAGTCCTTTCATGACGAGCCCATTAAAGACCTCTCCACTGTGTAATCACCTTCCCAGCAAATCCCCTCTGTCCCCGAGACGAGGATAAACCAGTAATTGAATTATTACATGATACATGGCTTGGCCCCATCACACTGTCCTGAACTCCCAGGCCTGCGCTCCAGATCAGGGTCTGGTGCTGGACAAATACCCGAGCAGAACACATGTCCCCTCCAGCTGCTCCGGGGGGAACAGTCTGATCTGGACCCTGAGTCCTGCAGACCGTCTGAACCTTCTCCTTGTGGGTCAGCGGCTTAGGCTTTTCTCAGACAGGTGATGAGGCTCTACTCAGCTTGACCTGTCTGGAAGTTTCAGATGCTCATTCACAAACTAGTGACTGTTAATTATCAATTCTTCACTTTGTGAATATAATATCAGAATATAGTGAGAAATGCCAACACTTTCCCAGATATTCAACTTGTCAGTCCAAAACCCCAAAAACATTCAATTTACATTACAGCTAATACAACTACTGAAAAGTGGTTACAAGTTCCCAGAGCCCAAAGTGAAGTCTTAAATGATCTTGTTTCATCCTAACAACCGTCAGCAGAAAATCTTCACGTTTAATAAACTGGAACCAGATAATTTTGATGAATCAGTTACTAAACTACAGAAATATAATTAACAATAATAATAACGGTTTCACAAACACATTCAGCTTTTCAGTCTCACAAACTGCTTCAGATCCTGTTAATGAAACTCAGATGTATTAGTGTTAAAACAGTAACAAAGTTTAATAGCTGATATTAAATCCATCTTAAAACTCTGCTCTGTTTTTCTCTCAGTGTTGAAGTCAACACTCTCCTGAAGATTGACGAGAATCAAAATGAGGAGCTTGAAAATAATCAACTTCCTGAAAATCCGGTAAGCACAAACTGTCACTGACTCTGACTCATCTTTTCCTAAATATAGCAAAGTATAAATAATGATTTCCCCTATTTCATATATTTCAGATGTGCCTAAATTCACGAAGTTCACTGGCTGAGGACACTCAGTAAGTAGCCTCGTAAAACCTCCAAGTTTTAAATGTTGACAGTTACTTTGTGTTAAGAAATATACTGAATAAATCCTAATTGTCTGTCTGTTTGTCCACATCAGGATCAAACCCTGTGATTTTGACTACCTCAAAATCATCGGCAAAGGCAGCTTTGGAAAGGTTAGTCTGTCTCTCTGTCTATCTTTATTTACCTGCTCTTATCTTCTCACCTGTTCACACCATCACTGATGCAAATGTTTGTTCTGCTACAGGTTCTTCTGGCTCGACACAAAGAGTCGACCAAATACTACGCAGTCAAAGTGCTGCAGAAGAAAATCATCCTGAAGAAGAAAGAGGTGAGACCTCACTTATGTTTTCTAACCGATTTCTTTCTCTGGAGTCAAATGAATATATATGTATGCATATATGAATAGAGAGTATAATATATCTTCCACCCCCCCCACCCCACCCCTCCTCCCAGCAAAAGCATATCATGGCCGAGCGCAGTGTGCTGATGAAGAACATCAAGCACCCCTTCCTGGTGGGGCTGCACTACTCTTTCCAGACAACTGACAAACTTTACTTTGTGCTGGACTACGTTAACGGTGGAGAGGTGAGTCTCAGTCTCACGACACAATCACCTCCTTTAAAAATGGAACCAGGTCAGAATAAATTCTTCTAAATCTGTTTCTCATCAACGCTGACAGAAGTTGTCTGTGTGTGTTTCTCTCTCTCCAGCTGTTCTACCATCTCCAGAGGGAGAGGATCTTCCTGGAGCCCAGAGCCAGGTTTTACGCTGCTGAAATTGCAAGTGCACTTGGCTACCTCCACTCCCTGCACATTGTGTACAGGTAATGAACAGTCATACAGCGCCCCCCGGTGGACAGATGTGATAATACTCTGGAACAAGTGTGTCAGAATAACAGTCTTTCTTCTTTCCAGGGACCTGAAGCCTGAGAACATCCTGCTGGACTCTCAGGGCCACATCGTCCTCACAGACTTTGGTCTCTGCAAAGAAGGTGTGGAGGCCAATGGAACCACGACGACTTTCTGTGGGACGCCTGAGGTACAAAACAAACCTACAGACTCTTATATATTCTTATTAAAGACACATAAACACCAGAGGACAGATAATAAATACTAGACTTGTATTGACTTTTCCTTGTTGCTTTCTTACAGTATTTGGCCCCTGAGGTTCTGAAGAAGCAGGCATACGACCGCACTGTGGACTGGTGGTGTCTGGGATCTGTGCTCTATGAGATGCTCTATGGACTTGTGAGTAGAAATCTGTGACTTTCCGACTGTGAATTAAACCCCCGTTTGTTTATATTCTAAATTAATTTGCTGTCGTCACTTTTGCTTTGCAGCCTCCGTTCTACAGCCGCAACACAGCTGAGATGTACAACAACATCCTGCAGAAGGATCCGGTGCTCAAGCCCAACGTGTCCAACGCCGGCAGGGAACTACTGGAGGGGCTCCTGCAGAAGGACCGCACCAAGAGGCTGGGAGTGAAGGATGACTTTGTAAGTTTGCACAGCTGACTCTACCCTGACTAAAATGCAACATGAATAACTAAGAGATCCATGAAGCTTGTTTCCTATCAGTCCGCTCATCTTCAATTTCTCTTTCCCTCCAGCTTGAACTCAAGTACCATTCCTTCTTTTCTCCAATCAACTGGGATGATCTGATGGCCAAGAAGATCACACCCCCATTCGTCCCCTCAGTGGTACGTTACAACTACGATTCTAACCAATGATTATTCTCATTATCAATTCATCACCTTGTCTATATAAGATCAGAAAATAGTGAGAAATGCTAACACGTTCACAGAGGTGACATTTTCAACTCATCAGTTTGAACTAACAACACAAAAACATTCAATTTACATTACAGCTAATACAGCTACTGAAAAGTGTCTGTTACAAGTTCCCAGAGCCCAAAGTGACGTCTTAAATGATCTTGTTACATCCTAACAACAGTCAAAAGCCCAAAATATTCAGTTTACTATCATGGGAAAGTAAGAAAAGGAGAAAATCTAACTTTTAAGAGGATGGAGCCAGTGATTTATTGCTATTTATACTTAAAAATGTCTGCAAATGAGTTACTGAGAAAAACTCTGTTCATCGACTTATATAAATAGTATTTATGGTGAATAGTAAATAAGATGTCATTCAAATGTCTGGTTAATGTTCCCTGATGTGGAGTTTTATATGATGTCATGTGTGATCATGATCTACAGATAAATCCAACATGCCAAAAATAATACACCTATTATTTGGTTGGTGGACTGGCTGTTAATTTCTGATATCGACCGTCAGACTGGCTAAGGTAGCTAGGCTAACGAAGGCTATTTTAGCTCAGTTATAATCAGTAAAGCATCGCACGCATCCCAACAACAGAACAGACAAGACAAACTTATATATACATATTTAAAAGGGGGCGATGACAGTCTGACAGTGGCCTTAACAATAATCATCCATTAGTGTCTGGTCTAATCTTCCCTCCTCTTGGTTTCAGAGCGGCCCCACAGACCTGAGACACTTTGACCCAGAGTTCACCCACCTGCCTGTGTCGTCCTCCCTGTGCACCGACTCCCTGACTGTGACCAGCAGCGTGAAGGAAGCAGCTGGAGCCTTCCCGGGCTTCTCCTACGGGCCTCCAGCAGACCACTCCTTCATGTGAACACCAACATCTTTGCCCCGGGAACGAACAGGAAACAGGACACAAGCTCTGGATCTGGAGTCTTACTGTGGCAGAGGGACGACGCCGGAGCTGCCTGTGTGAGGAGACGTTACAACAAAAGGTCTGATGAGGGGATTTAAATGAACACGAGGAACGAGGGGCAGATCTCGAGGGATCTTGTGTATGACTAGTGTACAGATGAGGACTCTCATGTTACGACACCACCGGCCCGACTCTTCTGCCTCAACCATCCAAGACTAATACATGTGTGTGCCAAGTATGGATGCACTCTGGGGTCATAAAACATCGCTCACTGATGGCTCTGGACCTCACAGCCGCTGGTGAAGTGACATGAAGAGAAGTGCCTGAGGTTCGAAAGGCAGTTTTGACGGAGGAGAGCCAGCTTTATCAAAAACCACACCACCATTTCATTTGTTTGGACTTCTGACCAGGGCGACGTCTCCATGACACGTCTACATATGTTAAAGCTGTGTCTACGTTCACAATGCATTGTTTTTGTTTTCATGTGACTGCTCGATTGCACTTGAGGAAACAAGGGTCAAAGAAAAGTGAAACATTTTTGCTTTAAGCATCATCAACGTAGGATTAGACAGCTGCATATCTTTATTTCATATCTCCACTTTGGACAAAGAAAAAATAGGCATTTCAATATTGTACACTACTAGTGATACTTGGACCAAACAGTTAACTAGGGTATGCTTTAAGTACACTTTTTTCTTTTGACCGGTTTGTCCTCATAAACTGAAGATCAAAGTTTTATTGTACTGTGTAGAAAAAACTAAAGTTACATATATTTTATTGAAAAACCAAAAGGTTTTCCATGTTTTAATAACCACAAACATTAACTGTTTACTTTTAATACAGTTCTGCATATATTATAAATGTTTCCTAGTGTGTGTATATATATATATATATATATATATATATACATTAATAGATTAAATTAAAATTTCCTGTATGGCAATATATTTTATTTTGGGTTTTTCCATCTTCCTTTTCATCTACAGCTAGTGACTGTGTATATCTATGTCTGCTGTTTGCAAACTTTATGACAGACCTCTCATTGATCCAGAGAGTGATACAGAGTTCAACCAGCAATAACAGGCCCACATCAGTGATAGCACATTCTGTATATCAATATTATCTTAAGTTAAAGTGATTGCTGTTTTATTGCAAACACAAAAATATAGAATCTCTGATGACAAATGTTTTTGTATTTATGCATCATGTAGAGAAGAGCTGTGAATGTCTTGTGCCTGTCCAAGGCGGCCTGATCCATGTATACTGTATGTACATATCTCTTTTCCCTGAAACCTCCTGGTCCCTTTTCTAGAAAATAATCTGTCAAAAAAAAAAAAAGAAGAAGAAAAAAAAAAAAAGTGCTTCAATAACGTGATGAAGAGCCACTGGGTGGAGCAGGCGCTGGCTTTCCAGCAACAGTGTTTAGCCACTGACCTACTCCATAATATGGTTCTGAAAAGTGCAATAAAATCTTAATTAAAAAAGAATAATTATCATTTTATCTCTTTAAGCAGACGCGTAAATTTTGCTCCGATATTCATTAAATTATTGAGAGAATCTACATTCAAAACAGATTGTTCACTTTGTTTTGCCCCATTTGTCAAAACATTTTAGGCTTTTTCATACAGAAAATGCATTTTCAAGCCTGCTGAAGATAATAAAAAATAAATAAGGCAACACACAGTTCTAGATAATTTTCTTCCATATTTGGAAGCGTTACTTTTCTGTTTTGTATTTTTAATGTATATTTATTTTCATGTGACTGCTACTGTATAAAAGAGATTAATTTACATGATCAACCGAAATAATGAAATGTAATCTGTGTCAGAAATGGCAAATAAAGTCTCTAAATTCAAGACAAGTGTGCTGTTTGTGTTTACAATTCAGTGGATGATACATTTAAAGTTAGGCACAACTACTTTTTTTTTTTTTAATTATACTACAGTAGGGGTGCTGCTATGGATTATTTCATCATTAATTAATGTTCTGAATACATTGTCAATTAATTGTTTGGGCTATAAAATGTCAGAAAACAGTGAAAAAAACCAACTACTAAAACTGGTCCTGTTTTGCCAAACCCCAGTGTTGTTAGGTTTATCATCACATAAGGCAAAGAAAAGACACAATCCTCACAACTGTTTACAGGTGTAACAATTAACGGCACATTAATTGACAACTATTATGATAACTCATTCATCGATTTCATTTTTTACAATTAAAAATGCCAAGAATACACTCCAATTAATCAACTCAACATTGTGGCTCTAATTAGTTTTGTCAACTGAATTAGCATATGACAACGTCAACATTGAAATATCATCATTAACTTCTACAGTTAAAAGGAGAAGAATATTATTTTAAAAGTATCTTCTACAGTTAAAAAGCTAAGAAATTTTATTATTTTAACAGTGTTTTCTACAGTATCTTCTATTATCTTATGTTTTCTACAGTTAGAAATCACAAATGAGCTTAAACATAACCGTTAAATTCAAACTCAGCTAGCTTAAAATTAAAGCAGCCTACCAGAAGTAGCCGCAGTATTTTCTTATGTATTTTCTTCTGCATCTATTAGACGTAACAAACCGTGAGACAAAGCTGACATTTAACAAGAGGCCTCATCTGTACAAATAACAAACGTTTGCAATGTTTCTCTCACCTGTGCTGCCGCCACACCTGTCGCCTCCTGAAAAAAACAGGCCAATTTGAATCAACATGTTGCACATGCGCAGTAGACCCTGTAATGAAGCTTCCTGCCAAATAGTGCTCCCTAACAACAGACAAAGCTTGACAGTGTGGATTCACCTGAAGACGCTTAAATAAAAGCGTTTCTCATTCCTTCCTTCAATGGTAAGACTAATGATGATGATTTTTGTTTGGCGGGAGTGTTTGTTTAGCGGTTAGTTCTGTGGTTAGCTGCAGCGGGAGTAAGATGCTCTCACACGCTGCCATTTCTCTGCCCACTCCAGTAGCTGCGGGCTCCGACTAACCTCTGGAGCGGAAAACTTTCATGGCTGGGCCAAACTAACCACAGCTGGTTATGTAGTCACCAGTATGACCACACTAGTGAGCTAGCTCGTATGTTAAATAGATAACGGACGACTCACGCTTTGCTATGAGATCCATTCGTAAATCGTATCAAATCAGCCAACAGGGGAAAGCTAACGTTCCTTTGGAAAGCTTGCAGGGTGGCGTCTAAATGCTGGAGGGATACGCTTTAATTAGTGTTTGTTACAGTTATTTGTATTAGTCATGTCAGTTAATGTTATTTGCCCATATCTGACTTCATGGGTTGACATTACAAATTATGTTTCTGTGTTTAAATTCAGTAAATAGTCTGATGTCAGACTTCACCTTCACTGCAAACTGGCTTCGGCTTGGTTATTTACTGGAGGACAAACAACACTGAAGACATGAGTCACATCAATCACCGGCCAGGCTCAGTTCTATCAATTTACAACATAAAGTCAGTGATGCCATAACTAGAAAACAGGCTGGCAGCTTCATCTGTTTGCCTTAGGGTTGCAGAAATTAGTCGATTAATCTTTAGCTGATAGACAGGAAATTAGTTGAACTATTTTGATAATCGTTTTAGTCTTTTTTTTGGAGCAAATATGACGCATATTTGCAGTTGTTAGCTTCTGAAATACAAAGATTTGTTTTTTGTCACACATGATGGTAAAAGAAATAACTGAAAACCCATCGCCCTGTCCTTTGTGAAAGTGTGAGGGACATTTTTTATACTAAACTATAGATAAATAATGGTTATATTAGCGTTACAACAAAGAGATATTTTTATCATTACAATCATTCTTCATTTTGCCTATAAAATGAAAGTAAATTGTGATAATTGCTCATAATTTCTCATAACCTGGAGCAAATCTTTGCAACTCTAGAATATTTATCAATTAATATTTAGTTAGGTTGAAATGGATCTTTGTCAGTTTTTCTGGATCTGGACAGTCCTTGTTCTTGAAAATCAAGTTTCCTATAAACTCACACAAGTCTATAGGTTATAGTATAGGGCAATTTCAGGTAATTACACAACCTAGTAAAGTAAAACGAATTTACCTTTTTTTGTCAAATAAATGAGAATCTATTTTCAATCTAATAATCGTTAATTTGTTCCCTAATCTATAAATCTAATACAACATTAGCTGTTCAGTTTAGCAACACAGTTAAACTGATTTCCCTGTGGTGTCCTCTGTATTTGATACTCCACCCTTTTGTTAAAGACGGGAATCACGTGAAGCAGAAGGATCCTGAATCAGGGTAGGGGTGTTCCTCACGTGACGAGAGTCGACCCGAGTGGTGTTGTGATACCGGCAGAGGAGAAGTGACTGTCAGAGGCTTGGTTTCCAATGGCAACAGCAGGCAGGACCATGGCTTTGATTCAAGTCTTTCAAAATAGCCAGAAAAATGGCAGCAGCAGGGTTGCCAGATTGGACAGTTTTCCACCTTTTTGGGCGACTTTTTCTATAATTACGCAGGTAAACAGTGATTTTAATTTTTTTACCATCAGGGTACAGGTGCACACAGGTGTTCTAAAAACATCCGTTGTTCACAAATACCTGTACCAAGTACCTGCTTAGAAACCACAGAAGAAGATGCTCCTTGTAACTGCAGCACGTGCCGGAGAATCATCAGATTTTTGAGCTTTCTTTAGAATTAAAGTGTCATTACATCCAGTGATATGTAGCAAACTGCTAATGGCTAATTCAGCGACTTATTTTCCAAATATAGACAAATATAGGCTTAAAAAAACGGGGTTCATGTTGTGGCCTCCAGTGTAACTCCCTAAATTAACATTATGTTCTAAATTAAAATCTTCATATAAGTGAAGATGTTTTGGGGTCAGAGCAGCTGAAAAAGTAAAGAATGACCTTATTCTCCTTCAAATGTCATACTTTTTTTTTTTTTAGTTCACTTACATAAATCTTGCATGAAGTGACAAAAGCTGTGAAGGTCCAGTCCATTCAGGTGTCATGTGTTTGATTCAGAACGTACAGCGCTAACAACTGCCTGACACATCTGTAGGGATTTGAGTTTGCTCTCTGACCTATTTTCTCTCTGTGCGTCCACATTATGTCAGCTATATAAATGTTCCATCTCTGCAGCCGGGGGGAAAGGCCAGTTGAGCGGGCAGTGGACAAAACGAGGTTAGATCTTATCTGCCCGGGACTTCTATTGATATGACAGCTTGCACCTGAGCACTTAATGCTTCTGGAGAATATTTTTCATTGAACTTAAGTTGGGTCACATGTAAGGTGGCACGCTTCCTTAATCCCACAGTAAACACAAGCACGGTGGGGACATTAGGCAACGTCAGCGCCACACTTATCTCACCTGCAGGTCTCGTGCTGGAGCTAAGACCAGGGTGCCCCATTTCCTTCATCACCGCCACCTCCCTGCTGACCTGCTGATCACCCGTGCGATAGTGGGTGGGCGGTGGGGGCATTTGTGAGCATTAACGGGACAAGGGGAGGGGAGAGTCACGCATCGGAAAAACTACATAAGGCATAACCTGTGGTCATTTATTCTGCGCCTGTGTGTGTGTTTGCTCCTGTGGTTGTTGAAGCAGGGTCCGGACCGGCTCTCCAGGTGCAGAGAGTAGGCTGAGAGCGCAGACATGTCGGGTCGCTCTGCTGCAGAGATGGACGACTCGCAGGAGCTGCCGGTGAGTCCACACCAAGAATACCAACACAGAGCCGGGGGGGGGGGGGGGTGTTTGCATAGATTATTGTGCAACAAATTTATTTTCAGATGGAGCTTTTTACAGTTTTTGTCTAAGAGTTAAATATTCCTAAAATAAAGTTATGAATGTAAATGAAATGTTCACAGCCTGTTGCTAGCTACTCTCGTCACATTCAGCTTGTTGCTTCAGGTTTTGAACGTAAACTTTCATTCATTCATAAGTGTAGTGCATTTTCTTTTTGTGGCCACCCACAGTGTTTTAGTGTTTATCTGAGGTTCAACACAAAAGGTGACTGATGAATATAAAATAAATCAACGATTCTGACATTAAACAAATGAAAATGTAAAATATTTACCAGTTAGTGCTTCTCATTTTTCTCTTTTGCATATCATTATAGATTTATTCATTTATTGTGTGTTTTGACTGTTGTTCAGTTCTTATTTGTTTGTTCTTGTTATTTATGAAAGTCATTTGTCACATTTTCTAGACTAAAGAAGTTGTTAATTAATTATAAATATATTAGATATTTTAAAGTCCTTTCACAGCACACCGTGTCTGTTGTAGTGTTATGATACACATTATTTTGTTGATGTGCTGATGTTATTTCTTTTCAGTGCTGTAGAGCAAATAAACTCTGTGCTTCATCTCTAAAATACTTCATGACAGAGTGTGTGGAGCTCAGACAGACCTGTGTTAGAAGTTGTATTTAAATCACGTCTGTATTAATAGTTCTTTCTTTGTTTTTTGGACCAAAAGGTTCACTCTGAGCTTTTTGCTTCAGTTTTTACAGATGATGTTAAATGATGATTTTCTTTAAGCCAAACAAAAACACACATTCCTGCTGATACAGTGGCTGAAAGCAGAACTCCACATTTTATTTTCTTCTGACCGGACTGGTTACAACAGAGATACCACATCTCTGAAGCAGCAGAAACATTAGAATGAGGTTGAAAACCTTTTCTATAAACTTGTTTTTGTGTGTGTGCAGGCAAAGAAAGCCAAGCTGGAGATAGATGGAGGCCTGGAGAAAGAGCCGAGGTCGGTCTTTGACTTTCAGTCTATTTCTGATCCTTCTGAGATGCGACTCAGATTGTCTGACAGAAAACCACTGAGAGTTTTAAAGAAATTATTTTTCCACTGTGGTTTGTTTTTATGAAAGTGACTCTGCCTTTTTGCCGAATGTGACTTTCTCAGTTTTTAGATGCAGAAATTCTCTATAATTATAATTGACTCTGTGGTTTCAGTAATCTGGGGGAGGACGAGAGTCCAGCTGCTGTTTTAGGTCCATCAGAGCAGGGAAACTCTTACTCTGCTCTGTCCACTGCTCAGCTTGATCCAGGTCAGTATGAAATAAGAAAAAAGGCTGAAAAAGACTTAGAAACGTTCCTAAAAGATATTGACAGTTTCATTGATCGCAGGTGATCAGGAGCAGTCAGACATAGACAGAGGAGCAGCGCCTCAGGCCTGCGGCGACTCACTGAACTCGTATTCTGGTACGAACAGAGACACGGACTCAGTTCTGATCAACACACAGTAACAAACACGTTCGTCTGTCAAACTGAAGCTGAGTTTTATTTTCTTTAACAGACACAACAGTCACATCTGAATACACCCAACAGGTTTATCAAGGAAGCAAGTGAGTACACAGCACAGGGCTAATGTGAATGTTTTCATGTTATATGCATGTGTAAATGTGATGTTGTAATCCAGATTTCCTGCTGCACAGAAACAAAACTTTTCTCTTTGCAGTTTAGAAAAACTCAAACTCTCAGTGGGAATAAAAACACATCATCTACAGTGCAGCTTCATAACAAAGATCTGCTGCAGAATGACAGTAGCAGATGACTCCATGCAGAGACCAGTGTTTATGATTTTAAGTTGATTTGAGTGAAGCCGCTTCAGGAGGAGGTGAGCTACTGTCACCATGTAGCTTAGCTTGATTTAGGTTTTTTTATTTGGAGATTTGCTCCAATTTTTCACCGTCAGCAGATCAAATTAATCAGATAATTATCAGGTAAACCTCAAACTAAACAACTCCTGTACTTGTGCAACAGTCAGTGGTTCCATACAGTTTTCATTGACAGCTGCAGTCTGAGGTGTTTGGTGGGAGGGTTTCTCTGCAGACACGTTCATGTGATGGAGCTAGGCCTGAACGATATGAAAAATCATATCGTGATTATTCTGGCAGATTTTGAGATGAGCCACGATTCTAGTTGAATGATTGTTTTTTGTTTGATTTTCACTGAAAGAAACATAAAAATGATGATGATGTGATTCTTGTTGGTCTTGTTCCTTCACATCTGGAGAATATGGTTTATAGGCCGGGACGTTTCTGTAGCACCACAACGCTTCTTTTATAATGTTGTTACACATTTAACCTTTTGTCTAAAAAATGGCGGCTCCTGCGATTTGAATATTGCACTTGCTCATATTGAATTGTTCAGCTGCCAAAAGTCTTTAAGAAATATTCATCCTGTGCCAGACATTTATCTTTTCTGCGTTTTGTCCAATTATAATGGGAAAAAGAGCATCATCAACATCTTGTGAAAACAGATATTGAAGTGTTTGCACTCGCCCTGATTGATGTAAGTCCCATTCTCTTGCTCTCTCTTTCCTTTCAGCCCGGCTGTGACGTCGTACACCAGCCAGGTGGCCTTCCCTCCGCTGGCCCAGTCCACTGTGTACTCAGCCTTTCCTCAGACAGGCCAGACCTACGGCCTCCCGCCCTTCGGTTAGTCACCCCCCACCCCCCCCCCCCAACCCGTTCAAACAGCCTATTTAACACTGTCCGCTCACTAAAACCAGCATCACTCCTTTGTTCATTTGCTTCAGAGGCCTCACTGAGCTTTGGCGCTGTGGAACCAGTTTGCTCTCGATCTCTGCTTAAACACACAAAGCCACATCTGGACTGAAGGACCTGGTGTCTGAACTCTGCTCTGTCTTCACGCCTCTCGCTGCCTCTTTCATCCTCTGCTTCCGTTGCTCTCTTTTATCTTCAGGTGCTATGTGGCCAGGCATAAAAACAGAGACAGGGCTGCCTGAGGCGCCCTCTGGTGGCCAGCCTGGGTTTCTCAGCTTCAGCACCACATATACCTCAACCCCGCCAGGCCAGCTGCACTACTCATACCCCAGCCAAGGCAAGCTGCAACCTCACTCTGTCTGAAGATAACACTGTCACTCTCTGCAAACATGAGCAGCACTCAGACATGAACACAGTGGCTCAGCTTCATTTCCTCTCTGGTTGTTCATCACTTCAGTCTCTGTGAAGAGGTTCTGTTTTTTCATGAGTTGTTTCTGTCTCCAGGCTCGAGCTTCACAACATCTAGTGTGTACTCCAACATCCCCACAGCTACAGCCACGACCACAGCCTCCACCACTGTGACCCACCAGGTAACGAGTGCATTTGTTACTGCGATGAACAACAACAAAACTCTGACTCTTGAGAAAATGATTTATAGGTTGGAGCATCTCTGCAGCACAACGCTTCATTTCTAATGATCTGTTGTGACACGTTTTACCTTTATCAAATTGCATATTGCACTTTGCCTTATTGAGATTTTCATAATTTCTCCATTACTCGTTCAGCTCTACCGCAACGTGTACTGTATCTTTAAAATGATGAAAATACCTAAAGAAAATCAGCACTTAAAAGCTGCAGACAAACAGTTTGAATATGTTGGTAAATCCTGGTAAAGTACACAACTATACATAAAGATCTATTTCATTTGTTTCATGTGTTTTTTATTAAATAATAAAACGTCAGAATGTAGAAAGTCTTTAAGGAACAGAACGAGCCTGGTTCCATATTCAAGTCTTTCATTAGATAAATAAACATCCACAGGAAGTGAAGCCGATCCTCCTCGTGAAGAGCTGGGCAGACATCATCACACGCCACATCTTTATTTTTCTTTTCTCCATTCCTCCAGGAGTTCAGTAGCTACAACTCTCTGGGCCAGAGTCAGTTCTCCCAGTACTACGCTCTGCCCCCCAGCTACGTTCCTGCTGGTCTCCCCAGCAGTGACGAACAGGGAGCTGGTGTGGGCGTGGCCGGATACTCAGCTGTGAAGTCGGAGGAGGCGGCTTCAGCCGGACTTCCTCCCAGAGGTGAGTTCACTGTTCGGATTCAGAGTTAGATTATTGGCAGTACATTATGATGTCATGGTATGAAAATATAATATTATGTAATTTAATAATTAATTAATTAACAATATAATGAGATTCTTTTTTGAATGACATGATAATAAGGTCTAACCTGAGACGTGTGTCCTCTGTCTTGTACGAAGATGCGTCCCCACCTGAGAACCTCCCAGCAGGTGCAGCTCTTCCCTCCAGTGTGGCGCTCCCTGCTGGAGCCAGAGAGCAGGATGAGGTGGGACGCAGGAACTCTGTTGGTAAAGCCAAAGGGAAGGCCAAGAAGTCTGACAACTCCCCCCCTGCTGACACAGACCTGGAGGTAAACATGATGTTGTCTCGTAGGATGTTAAAGGTGCCATATGTGAGTTTTTGCTATCACTACATAGCTAACGTTAGCATTAGCAGCTGTTTACTGGCCAGTCTAGTAAAATTCTCTTCATTTGTTCACTCACCAACAGCTGTCTCCAGAGGTCAGTGTTAACTTTCTGTCACTGAAGTTAGCGTGCTAACCAGCTAGCCCCCTCCCGTCCTGTCTTGTAATGTTACCTGTGATACTGAGTCACTGCAGCGTCCAGTCTGCTCTCAGTTCATCATGAGAGGATGAGGGCGATGAAGAACTGGTCACAGCGTGTTTCCTAACCTCTTGTCTTGTAAATATAATGATGAGTGAAGCTTTTCACAAACCACAACCATCATCACCACCATCACCAACATCACCTCCATCACCACCATCACCACCCGTCCCAGCAGGAAACCACATTCAGCGGCAGACAAACTTAAATAGCACCCTTTAATTTCACTGTAGGTGTAAACCTTATTAACAGCTGTCTGAGCAGATTTCATCTGATGGTTCATCTGATGTTTGTGTCAGAGAAGCTCAAAGTCTGTATTGTAACTGGCTTTAATGTAGTTTAGAGTTAGTCCTCACTTCATTTTCAAATGTTAATGTTATGACCCAGTTTAATGTTGTGACCTGGCTCAAGACCAACACAGTTTAGATTAATTAAGCAGTATCAAATTTGAGGTTGTGATGTTGTTCTGAATATCAGCACGGCTGTGATTAGGTCAAAGGTATGAGGCCCAATCACAGCTGATGTTCAGAACAACATCACAACCTCCGTGTGATCTTCTTTTATATTATATTTTTATAATACACACTTCTACGAGCGTCATATTAGTTAAATAAACAACAACAGATTATGATTTGTTTGTTTATTTCATCATTTATTTATCAACGGCAACACAACTGGACTGGTACTGGACTGTTGCTAAGCAACACGTAAACATGTTCCTGACCTGCACAGTGACACCAGCTGCTGCCTCGTCTCCTCGTTCCCTCAGGTGTTCCTGAAGGATCCACCTTCTTCCTTCATCCTCTCCTGACGACATCGTTTCATTCAAATGTTATTTCTGAAATATTTTCATCTTTGTTTGTTACAGTCTGAGATCGATAATGATGTTAATGTGACGCTGATCAACGGTTAATAGAACAGCTGTGAAGAGGAGTGACAGTGCTGTTATTCTCTATATCAGCCTTGTGTAATGACTCTCATCCAATCAGATTACTTGGTTGGAACTAACTGTTTATAATAATAATAATAATATATAATACATTTTTATTAAACCAAATGAAATGATCTGAGTATGAGGTGTCAGTGAGATCAGTAATATGTGTGCATGAGTGAGTGCAGAACTAAACATAAGGATGAGTAAGCAGCCAGGACTTATATATATTATCAGCTGCAGACAAAGAGAGGCGGGTTAGAGGACCAGAACAAATGACACATTGTTTCCAGTCATTTGGAAAATAAAAGAGAAATGGAGAAAATTTTTATTTTTATTTTTTTAATACAACAAATAAAATATTTTTTTCTTTTTTAGCGTATTTTCCTGTGGGATCTGGACGAGACCATCATCATATTCCACTCTCTTCTCACCGGCTCCTATGCTCAGAAGTTTGGGAAGGTTTGTTTCTGTAGATGAACAGAACAGGAAATGACAAGTGATCAGTTTACGGTCTGAACTCCTCGTTGTGTTTGAGCAGGACCCGGCGACGGTGCTGAACCTGGGCTTACAGATGGAGGAGCTGATCTTTGAGCTGGCAGACAATCACCTCTTCTTCAATGACCTGGAGGTGAGAGCTGAGGCGGGAAATGACCTTTCACTTCTGTTTATGATGATGATGCTGCAGGAACGTTTTCCCTCCTCAGTCCTGCTTTATTAACATTCCTGTTCTACATACAGACACATACATAACCCTGACCCTGTACATACATGTGACATACATGTGACATACATGTGACATACATGTGACATACATGTTATATTTGAACCTTTAAATGAAATGATGATAAAACCTGTTTTGTTTTCTTTAAGGAATGTGATCAGGTCCATGTTGAGGACGTGGCCTCTGATGATAATGGACAGGACCTTAGGTCTGTCTCTCTCATCTCACACACACACACACACACACACACACACAGTGATTCATTCAAACTAACCACACATGTTTTTCCCTCCTCTTCAGTAACTACAACTTCCTGGCCGATGGCTTTAATGGCCCCAGTGGTGGGGGAGGGGCGTCAGGAGCCACAACAGGGGTCCAGGGGGGGGTCGAGTGGATGCGCAAACTGGCGTTCCGCTACCGTCGACTAAAAGTGATCTACAACAACTACAAAGGAAACGTCGGAAGTGAGTTTGTAAACGTTGTGACACCTGGAGTCTGAGTCAGAAACCAGGTGCAGTGAAAACACTGCAGGTTCAGACGCCTCCGCTCTGTATCAGCTGTGTGAGGCCTTTGGACCTCTCACAGGGACGTGAACAACAACAGGTCGACCATAGTCACAGGTCGACGTCCAATCACGTCTCACAGCAGGGAGAGGCGTGCGTGTTGCTCTGTCTGATCCCTGTATCTGGAGGACGAGTCCTCGCTGCGAATGACGTTAAAGCCTCTGTATAAATATGATATAAAATATAAATCCTCGCTGTTTGTTCAGGCCTGTTGAATCCTATGAAGAGGGAGCTGCTCGTTCGGCTTCAGTCTGAGATCGAGAACGTCACAGACGCCTGGCTCAGCACCGCGCTCAAGTCTCTGCTGCTCATCCAGTCCAGGTCAGACCACAGCTTCAGTATCTTTAAAAACTACACCAAAGATCGACTTGTCTTTAAACGTGTGTGTGTGTGTCTGTCTGTCTGTCTGTCTGTCTGTCTGGGTCTGTCTGTGTCTGTCTGTGTGTGTGTGTGTGTGTGTGTGTGTCTGTCTGTCTGTCTGTCTGTCTGTCTGGGTCTGTCTGTGTCTGTCTGTGTGTGTGTGTGTGTGTGTGTGTGTCTCTCACAGAGGGAAGTGTATGAACATCCTGGTCACCACCACTCAGCTGGTTCCGGCTCTGGCCAAAGTTCTGCTGTACGGTCTGGGAGACGTCTTCCCCATCGAGAACATCTACAGCGCCACCAAAATAGGTGCAGACAAGAACCTGTTGATCTTCTTCTGTTGTGATGAAATATTTAGTTAAAATGACACTTTAATGATGAATCTAAAGTTGGACTGTGACTTGAATTTAAACGTCTTGTTTCCTCTGCAGGTAAAGAGAGCTGCTTTGAGAGGATCATCTCTCGCTTTGGGAAGAAAGTCACGTACGTGGTGATCGGTGACGGTCGAGACGAGGAGTTTGCAGCTAAACAGGTAAGTTTCAGTTTGTCGAGGTCTTGTTCTTCACTTTGTAGCTGGTTCTTAAAGTTTTGGATTTTTCTACCTGTAACAGGAAGAACAGACTTTATTTGTCCAGAGTTTAAATCTTCTCTGATCTATTGAGAATAAAGTCACAATCATATTAATGTCGCTCGTCTGAATCTCGTCGTTTCCTTATTTCGGTTTTTTTTTTTACCTACTTCCTGCTAAGCCTTAAAAGATAAATGTATGCAAGGATTGTTGCATCATTTTCATTTTCATATCATTTTCACATTTGATATCTTTCTGTGTCTCTGTAGCACAACATGCCTTTCTGGCGGATCTCCACTCACGGCGACCTCGTGTCGCTGCATCAGGCGCTGGAGCTGGACTTCTTGTAAAGGAGCGGCGGCGCTGACTGTCGCACACTAAAGGGAAGACGTGGTGGTCGTGGTCGTGGTCGTGGTCGTGGTGCTGTTGGCTGGTGGAGAGACACTGTGAGAAAATCCTCCACAATCCAACAACAACACTCGCATATTAGAAAGATGATGTTCCTCCAGACGACTGAAGACTGTGACGTGTGGAGGGAAAGACGAGAGGAGACTTTGGGTCGGAGCTGACTGTGAGGAACAGACTGGACGCACAGCGCTCCCCCCTCTACGGCAGCTAACCCCCCACGGCTCAAACTGGCACTGATGGACACAGAAGGGAAGACATACTTTTTTTTTGGTCTTTATCTCATTTTCTTCTAATTATCAAAATCTCCTGCAGTGAAAACTCAGCTTCTATTTTTCTATTTGTTTGTGGAAGTAAAAACCAAAGGGCCGCTGTTGTTTCTCTTTTCTCTTTTAATTGGTCTCTGTAGTAGAAGTGACAGATTAATATCACAGCTGATTTGTTTAAAACTCACTCATTCAAAGACTAAAAATCATCGTCAGATAATCCTGATTGAACTTTAGTTTAACGTCCTGTAACGTTCACTGTTCAACACCACCTGCTACATGGGATTTAAAAGAAAGAAAAAGGGGGAACTTGATCATGAAAGTTTAGAGATCAAGAGGCTCGGCGTGTTTCTGATCCACGTCTGAAGCTTCAGTGTTTAAGTCGACAACATCAGTGTTTTTTATCATAGAGCTAAAAATATGATTCAGCTCGTTTAGAACAACATTTCATCCATTTCTCTTCACGTGGCAGCGACGTGACAAATGTCTGTTGATACAGTCCAGAGTCAAAATGGTTGTTTAACCAAAAAGGAAGTTGCAGACGTTTGTTTCCAAAGACGTTTTCTCGACATGTTCTCTGTTGTTTTTGAGTTCAGTTTTACTTCACGTCATTGGTTTTATTAGTTCATGAAAACTGTGGCTGCAACTAACAATTCTCTTCATTATCAATTAATCTGCTAATTATTTTCTCATCAGTTCGATAAATCATTCAGGCATCATCAGAGCTGCAACAAAAAATCAGCAACTACTTTGATCAGTTTTTCAAGCAAAAATAATTTTCTTTTAATTACTTGATCTAGAAAACAATCAGCAGATATGATAAGTAGTTGCAGACAATTTTCTGTCAGAGGACGAAGAAAAACAGCAAATATTCATGTTTAAAATGTCAGAACAAATACATTATTATTTTAAAATGATTAGTCGATTATCAGAATATTTGCCATTTAATTAATTCATAATCACTTTGTCTTTTTGTCACACGACGACCCTCGACCTCGTTGAGTCGTGTCAGAGAAATAAAACAGGATGTTGATGACTGTGCAATACATTTACATTTCTACTTTGCTCATTAACTGTATTTCAAAGGGGATTTTTTAAAATTAGCTTGTTGTCGACAGTGAGGGGGGGGGTCGACTGTCCCGGGTCTGTATGAGATTACGACTGAACAACACTGAGCCTGAAGATTTATTTCCACTCATGCAGCTCGACCGTTACGAATGTGTATTTGTGTGTTTGTGTCTCTGTATATTTATATTGTGCCTTTAACCATCAGCTGTTTGCATCATAATCTCAAAGGGAAACATGTAAAAGTTTGTGTTTGATTCATTTATTTCTCCTTTTGTTTTATTATCCAAAGTGTTATCTTACTTTTTTAACCCTTTGTGTTTTTTTAAAGAGACTTTCTGATGTGACTGTCTGTCTGCACTGTGTTTAAAGGTCTCAGAAAAAATACATACTGTCTTTTTCTTTTGGGGGGGGGGGGGGGGTATTGATGTTGATTTCTGAGTGTTTATCAAAAACAGTTTTAGTGAAGGGTTCCAGATAATTAAGTTCTTGATATCTCAATTTGCAGTGACAATACATTGTTTTTCTTAATTTTAAATTTGACTTTCTCTTGAATCACGTCTGTTTTACATCAGACGTTTGTCTCCTTTTGAAAAGGACTTTGCTTTTATTGTTGCTGTGAAACGCTGCGTCGCTTCAAGACAATCACAGGCTGTAAAACATGCGTTTTTTTTTGTTTTTTTTTGATGCAGATCAGATTACGAGGGTGAAAGGCTCGTTTAAAAAGCTGCGAGACTTTGATCGCTGAGTGTTCAAGGGAAATGAGAAAACCGAGAGACCATATGCAGTCTTTGCATTTCCGTTTCTTGTCTTTGTCTGCATGTCATGTCTGTTTTTGGCCTTTAAAAAAACAACCGTGGAATATTCTTGGACCTCTGCGTCTCTTTTTCTTTGCGATGCCAAAAACTGTTGTTGCTGTTGTTAAAAGCTGTCTCTGGTTTTGTTTTTCTATTATTTTTTAAAAGTATTTCATCTCATTTTCACGGACCTGTGAGGCTGCATGGGGTCATGTCGAGAGCCTGAATGTGATCCTGTAGACTGAACAATATCATCATAATCAATCAATGATAATTTAATTACAATAATCACTATTTCCCCTCGGTGGCTGTGCGGGAGGTTTGCCTGTATAACCTGAGACACTCAATACAATGTAAATAAATTTTAAAAAGTTTCAGACTCGAGTTTGTTTTTATTATTTATCAATTACAAAAACCTTTTAAAAACATAATTAGACAAAATTGACAAACGTATCTGGAATAAATATAAAAATAAAGTCAGGAATGTTTGTGCACCATGAGATCAGCTGTTAAAGGACAGGTTCACCTGATAGAACACCGGTTCATATCAACATTCACAACATATTACAAATTGATTGGCAGCTTCATTTGCTTTGGTAGCACCAGATGAATACGCAGCAGATATGGATGAAAAGTAATAAAGCATTTCTGTAATTTCATCTTTTAATAGACATTAAAAATAGGAATTGTAAATGATTGATTAATCCATCAATAAATACTAAAGATTTTAAAATGGATGGACAAAAACATAAAACTCTTATTAAATAAACCATTTATCAATACATTTAATAATTCATGAATAAATAGTAGAACTTGAAAAGACATTTTAAAAATGGGAACACGTTCCCAGATTCCAGCTTCAATTTCCATTTCCTTTAAGCTAATCGATTAGCTTAGTCATTTAGCATCTCCTGTTAGCCTCTCTGTGACACTCTGGTCTTCAGTGATGTAAAACCAGGATAAACAATCCTGATTGGCCATGGGATGTTACAAGCTCTCTGATTGGTTGGAGAGCTAACCAGTCATATCTGTAGACTTCACCTATATAAAAAAGGGTTTTACCAGCACTGAAGGCTAACCGGAGAAGCTAAATGACTCGGCTAATCAATTAGCTAAGGAAGAGGAAATGGAAATTGAAGAGTGAATCCAGGAACGTATTCCCATTTTAAAATGTCTTTTCAAATTCTATCATTCATTCATTAATTAATAAATGTTTTTATAAATGGCTTATTTTGTTTTTATGCTGTTTTTGTGACATATTTATTGATGGTTAATCGATCCTTTATTAATAATTCCTTTTTTTAATGTCTGTTAAAATATGAAATTATTACTGTTGCTGTGACGTCACTGCTCCTCCATTTTCAGAAAGTGCCTATGAGAATAAAGAGATCTCAGTAGTGTGTGGTAAGACTGTATCAATGAGCAGGTCACATGATCATGATGATGGACGTCTGTCTGACCTCCATGTCCTGTGGAGGTCAGGTGATGGATGTCAGGTGACGAAGGTCGGGTGACGGAGGTCAGGAGTAGAAGTTCTTGGCCAGCTTCCTCATCCTCTTGTTGTGTTTGAGGTCGGGGGCCGGTGGACTGGGAAAGCTGCGCCCCGACACCAAACTAGAGTCTACCTCGTCTCCAGAGAGCGGCGAACTCCTCGCCAGCTCCTCCTCAGGCGTGACTCCTTTCAGCTGCTCTTTGCTCAGGTTCGGGTGGTAACATTTATAATATATGATTTTTAGTAAGAGGCCGAAGAGGTAGGTGGAAACTACACTGACCGCAGTGATTACAGTGTACAGGAGTGGGATTTCAAAATAAAGCTCCTCTGTGTTCATCCTCCAGCACCACAGGCCGCAGAGGAGGGAAACATCAGCCACGATGAAGCCGTGGTAGAGCAGAGTCCTGAACCTGGTCTTCCCCTCCACCACGTTAAACCAGTTGAAATACCAGATCAGACCCACGGTGGCTCGGTACAGCCACTCCCCCACAGGACTGTCCATAAAGTCCGTTTCACAGTGCCACACGAAGAACAACAAGAGCAGCCACGAGCAGAAGAAGTGGGCGAACATGAAGCAGGGCAGCACGGAGGCGAAGAGGGCGAGGGAGGTGAGGCGGGAGGAGATGAGCAACAGGTTCCACAGGAAGTAGATCACAGAGGAGACGATCTGCTGCTTCTCCTTCTCAGGCAGGAAGGAGCGCAGGGAGCGGTGGTACGTGGTCACACTGAAGGCGATGGCCGAGGCCGAACCGAAGGCCTTCAACACTGAGGAGGGGAGGAGAGGAGAGGAGGAGAGGTCAACATCTAATTCAAAATAATACCTGGTCAGTTGTTTTGCCGCACTACTAGTGTGTGACTCATGTTGGTTTGTTACCCATCTTGTCTTCAGTTGTGTAGTTTAATCTATAACAATGTGACATATCTTCTGAGCAGATCATATGTTGTTATGTTTTGCATGTAAAATATGAGTCTGTATAATCACTAGTGATCACAGCTGTGTGATAAATGCAGTAAAAAGTAAATATTTTCCTCTGTAATGTAGCAGAAGTAGAACTTTGCATAAAATTAATGTAAAAGTAAAATACCACACATGTCCATGGTAGTTAAAGTGCAGTAATAAATACTTATTGCACCACTGGATTTGGGTGAAGTGACCCTTTAAAGACACAGTAGAGCCACATCTGGATTTTGACTTATTTCTAATGTAATAACTCTCGAGTCTTTCTCAGTGTTTCATTCATTCTTCAGCTCTGTCATCATTCATGACTTCAGCTGTTGTACATGATGATTCACAGCTCCTCTCCTCATTAACACACTGACACTCTGGCACATTGGATCATATACGGCACCTGTGACAGGGTCGAGCTCTCCTCGCTGCAGGATGATGGTGAGCATGAGGACAAGCTGAGGGGAGCTCTCTGAAAACGTCTCGATGAGCCGCAGCATGCTGAGGTCGTGACTCAGGTACACGGCGCAGCCCTCAGTCATCTTAGTGCAGAAGCTGCGAATGGAAACCTCCACAACACCTGCATGTCTGAGAGGAAATGTAACAACAATTAATCCCATTGGAATGATATTGAATTAATCATTTTAATTGTGTTGGTTTAAATCTCTGGTCAAAAGACCCAGGTTTACTCATCTGGGTCTATATCATTTCATTAATCACATTCTTTAATTTATTTTGTTCCTTGGTCTTGTAGAAGGACTGTGTCAAAATCTACTTCAAAGACATTTCACTGTTACTGTGGTTGTTTGTTGTGAAGTGTCGGGTCATTATTCCATCACAGAAATACAGTAACTCAGCAACCAACAATTGCTTTTATTATCAATACATCTGATAATTATGTTCTTTAGTAACTGTTTGACTGTTGGTCTATAAGATGTCAGTAAACAAGTTAACAAATAAAAATAGATTTTTTTTTCTGTTTATTATCATAAAAAAACTGGGAAATTAGTAAGTATTAGTACGATGGTTTTATCTTTGGAGCTTTGGTATTTTTGCTTAAAAAATACTTAAAAGATTAATTATCAAAATTAATCAAAAATGTTCAGCTAATCATTGCAGCTCTACAGTTCTGGTTGGTTTCTGTGGAAAGTTAAAATATAGTGTTGAGTGGGAGTCAATAGAACGATAAAAGCTTCATGTACATAAAACAATTGTCACACAGATAATAAAAAATCAAAACATGGAAAGGTTTCAACACACACTAGTTTTACCTTCATAATATAAAGATTTAGGAAACAAATGGCTCCAAGCTCTAATAAGATCTAACGAGATTGTCTCCAGTCTAAATGAAACTTGAGTTCAGGAAGCTGGTTACAAGAAAAGATCCTGTGTGATGTTTATACGTTTGAGGAAACGAAACAGATGATGAACTTCATTCACATTGTTACACTTTCCTCAATGACCTAACACTGAGTTCTCCCAAGATTTCCCAGACACGAGTTCAGTGTGTAACGCTGATAAAATTAGATGACACACCCACATTCCTGATGAACAGCAGCAACACAGAGCCGCTCAGCCGTGACCAGATCAACAGCTGATTTACATGTTTCCTGTAAATGGAAATAATGTCCTGAACCTCATTTTAAACAGCTTCTCTCTGAGCATTCACTCCAGCTCTGCATGTCCCACAGTAACAACAGCCTGAGGCAACACCTGAACTAACTTTATTCTAAACTACAACCTGAAGTAGATTCCCAGCTGGAGCCAGTGCAGCAGCCGGAGCTGACTCAGGGTCAGGCATCTCTCCACCTTTGTCTGCCTCTCAAAGTCCTCGTAGCTGTACCAGAGCCAGCTGTAGGCCTGGACCAGGACCGACGAGCCCACCAGGAACAGCAGCAGTATGCTGAGGCTCACGTACGCCTTTTCCTGGTAGAAAGAAACAGCCGCAACAATGTCCAGCCCGATGTCAAGCAGCAGGAACACCAGGCCAAGACAAGTGAAGAAGAAGTCCACACGATTATACTGAAACACAGACATGGTGTCAAACTACAGCTTCACATTCTCTCTCCCCACTACATGCTGCAGCTATTTACTCAGAGAAAGACAAACTGAAAGTGGGCAAAGAGGCAAAGTTCGGTTTTGAAACGGTAACCCCTCCCACAGACAGACAGGAAAACTTAAAGGTACAGTCAGATTTCACAGGCTGCTCCCTGAAGCAACAGAAACACACATTCAAACAGTCAGAACAAGAACTTCATGTTGTCACCACTTTAATAATAATTACTCATTACAACCAGCAGTGAGTTTAATTTTCGTTTCAGAACAGTCTCAAGCAAAAATGTGGATTTTCAACACTTTGTGTGAACATCACTGAAGTGAATGAATGAGGTTTTAAATGTGACAATAAAACATAAAACAACAACAACGTCAACTTGAATAAACCTCTGGGACGTCTAAAGAGATTTAAAGTGACAGCTGAAGGTAACTGACGTGGGGTTGTGTGAAGTGGTCAGTGTTACCTGCAGTAGATTCAGTTTAGAGGAGCAGCAGGAGCACAGGTACACTAGCAGCTGCTGTGGGCGGGGCCTAAAAGACGCCCACTGAAACAATCCAACATCTGTTTAAATGAAGCTTCATGTAGAATATTTTCATCTTTATCTTCCCGTCAGAACAAAGTGAAGTTCAGCCCCTTCTCATTCACTCAGCTGACCTGCGGCAGCGGCGTGATACCGTGCTTAGTGCGTAGGAATACGGTAGTTCAGTGGCTGAGAAAATGTAGTCCCAAAGGAAAGAGCTGTTTTGACAGGAAGATAAGAGCTGAAAACATTCTACATGAAGCTTCATTTAAACAGATATTGGATTGTTTTATATTTATTTATGTATATAAATATAAATATTATATATTAAATACATAATATATATATATATATTTGATGTATATTGCTAGTGTACCGTGTTCCCTGCTGCCTCTCCTAACTGGCCGCACTGATCTCAATCTACAACACCACAGATAGGTAACACGGTGTTACCTAGTCCTCACTGTACATGACCACCTCACACCCCCATGTCTAATAACCACAACCATCACTTTAACTCAAGCATGCTCCATGTAGAATAAAGTGTAGCACAGTGTCACTCACCACACTGAGAGGCGCTTGAACAAAAAGACTTGAGCCACATGTGACATGTAAACAAACAGTGGATGAGTGAGCGACAGTAGCACCAGGTTTACTAGAGTGATGTCATCACTGGTTAAATATGTACCGACCTGTTGTTAGTCAACATGTAAATCATCAGCATCTGACCTGAACTTGTTTTACACAGTAAATATCGTCACGGTAACAACTAGTGCCCTTTCACATGGTGTAAAACAGCTGTTAAGAAAATAAAATAACAGAAAACAGAAAATTATAAAAGTGAAGCTTATGGTCAAATCTACATTCAAAGGTTCAGTAGCAGCTGTAACACAACACACACATTTAAATAGCACTTGTTGTCATGGGAACCCCTCACTCATCTAAGCGTGATCAACTCTGTGACTTCATTCTAAATGTATTATTATTAATATTTAATTACTGATCAAATATCTGTTTATTTTATTTACTCATTTTTATTTATTTATTGTTGATCAAAAATGTTTGGTTATTTTCTTGGATTCTGTGAAACAAGGTGTTCACACAACAACAACAAACCTTTGGCAATAAGGTAAGTGTGAAAAAAAGGTTTTTTTACTCCCATGTTTGAACATGTAAAAACTGACTCCAGGAGTAAAGACAGTAAAATACATTTACTTTAGAAAATCTATTAAATTAAACATTTCAGTAGAAAATTAGCTTATCAGATTCCCCCAGTTTACAACAGAATAGAGAAATATTACAGTGTGTACAGTGTCATGTTGATTTGTAAACAGAGATTTTTTGGAAACTGTCCCTTTAATATTTCTGTGTATTTAGGTCAAGTCTGTGCAGAACTGCTTTATGGCAATATTTATTTTATAGTGTTTGCATCAATGTGATGAAACACCTGGATTTGTCAGGTAAAAACAAAAACTCCTGTCTGGTTATTTCAACAGGTTTTAACTGATTGTCCAGGAGTTTACTTGATTGTAATATATGTATATTATTTATATATGTAACGTTACATACACTGTGAAAAGGATTTCGTCCATATCACCCGCTCCTTGTTTCCAGTGGTTTGGAGCCTGTATGTTGGTTCACAGTACACTGAGCATCTGATGAAACAGTACGGTGGCTGACGAGGCTCAAAACTCTTCCATGAGAAACGCGCTGCAAATTCAGAAACGCAGATATGCAGATTAAAAAACAAAACTAGAAGAGGTCACCGTGACCTTGACCTTTGACCACCAAAGTCTAATCAGTTCCTCATTGAGTCCACGAATGTTTGTGGCAAATTTGACGAAGTTCCGTCAAGATGTTACTGACATATCGTGTCCATCAGAGCGAGCTGCTCTGACTGTCGGAGGAATTAAAACACTGCATATCCAGACAACATGACAGGTGCTCCGGGCCTCTAGGGGGAGCTCTAAGTGGAACACTTTGAGCTTCGACCAGAGAGGCCAGACCTTTGACCTTTGACCTTAGACCAAACAAGAGAGGATGATGGGAGAAAAGAAGAGGCGACATAAAAAGGTTTGTGTTCTTTTTTATATCATAGAAGAGCAACAGAAAACGTAGCAAGTGTTAGCGTTAGCATTAGCTTACATCCAGCCTATGTGTGTTTCACTGAGAGCTCCCTCTGGAGGCCTGGAGGTCTGACGTAGTGTTGTCTGGATATTCAGCGTCTTTTCTGTTGCATTAGTTTTGGAGGTTCATGTTTTCTTGTTGCTGCATGGTTTCTGTTTTTGCAGCGTGTTTGTTTTGTTTTGTTTTAACTTCCTGTAGCTTGTTTCTGTTCTTGAGTTTCATGTGTTTTTGAATCTGCAGCATTTCTGAATTTGCAGCTCGTGTTTCAGGCCGCTGCGGCGCGTTTGACCTCTTGGGCCACCGTAGAACAGGCTATAGAGTTGGACTGATGGAGACGGACAGAACTCCATCACCACCACACACTAACATGTATCAGCAGAACACAGCTGGCTGTGTGACACAGACGTCACAGTCTAGTGTTGTCAGTCTGTGTGATGACGCTCTGCTCTGAGTAAAAGTGAGTAGCGTGGCGGGCCATGCGTTTGTTGAGGAGCTGGGAGGACAGGGCGCGCTCTGGAAGGGAAAGGTCTCTGATGGACACTTCTGCGTCGGGCAGATCGTCGGGCAGTCCTGGGTCCCTCGCCAGGGGCCTCCACAGTTTGGGGTGAAAGCAGCAGTAGTAGAGGGCTTTGAAAAGCAGGCCCACGAGGTAGGAGAGAGGTAGAGTGATGATGAGAGCGATGGCGTAGGACTCAGTCTGGACCGGGTCTCTGTAGAACCACCAGGTCACCAGCAGGATCAGTCCATCAGTGGCGATGAAGGAATGGTAGATCAGGCTCCTCCCCCTGGTCCGACCCTCCGCCACATTAAACCAGCTGAAGTACCAGATGAGCCCCACCGTGGCCCGGTAGAGCCACTCCCCCCCCATGCTGTCCATGAAGCAAGTCCTCTGTCGCCACGCCCATAACACAAAGACAAACCACAGCAGCAGGAAGTGGGCGGCGACGTACCCGCGCAGGACAGAGGCGAACAGGGCGACGGCCGCCACACGTGGAGAGATTAGCAGCAGGTTCCACAGGAAGTAGATCAGAGAGGAACACCAGCCCTGCTTGGCTTTGTCCGGGAGGAAGGAGCGCAGGGAGCGGTGGTAGTCCACCACCATCCAGGCGATGGAGGTGGTCGACGCAACGACGCTCACAACTGTAAAAACAGAAGTTAACATCAGTGAAGCAACAAGAAGAAGTGAACACACCACACAACTGTGGTGGGCTGTCACCACTTCCAGTCACCCTGATAGCGTGACTTCAACCTGTAGCTACCTGTGAGTCACACAGACAACACTCTTTGGTTTTTGTGGTGTGGAGGAAGTAACTGAAGAGAGGAGGAACTCACACTGAACAGTCTGGGCCTTGTTGGTGCGCAGCATGACATAGATCATGAGAGTGAGCTGAGGGGCGCTCTCGCAGAACGTCTCGATGAGTCTGAGCATGCTCAGGTCATGTGTCAAGTACACGGCGTACTCAGAGCCTTTCTCTTTACGCCACCACACCCTGAAGCCTTGACGAATGGCAGAGATGTGCCTGAGTGGATAAATGTCAGAGAACAGCTGTTACATGACACACACACACACACACACACACACCAGATCCAAGCAGCTAAACATCTTTTACAAAGAAAAGAAGCAACTGGCATGAAGTATTAAGTGACTGACTCATGCCTCTCATATTTTCACACCTCAATAACTCATTATTTGTGCATTTTAAACTTTCAGTTCTCTTCTGAGAAACTGGATTTACTCGTTCTTACACCACAGCTTTATTTATGATCACAGCACCTGTCAAATGTTATTATTTGCTTGTTTGCATGAGATAATGTTCAAATATTCAGTTTTTAATCAGTAAGTAGAGAGAGAAAAATTCCCCTGCAGTGAAGCTGTAATAAAACTTATGCCTGGACTTTAGAGCTGCAACTATGGAATGCCTTTTTAATCAATATTAAATAAATAAATACAGCTATAAAATAAATCCTGAAAAAAAAATTAGGTAATAAATGTAGAAATGTAGAAATAAATGTGAATAAAATATATAAGTAGGTCAATAAATAAGTACATAGCTTTATGAATGAATAGATAATTCTATTTCACGATATATTACATAGCTGTATTTACTCATTTATTTATATATTTCATATTGTTTTAAAATGGTATTCCATGTACAACATCTAGAGAAAAATAATCACTAATAATAATAATCATTATAGGACTTTTTTAAAGAATAAATGCCAAAAAGAAAAATCACAGTTTAAGCTTCATAACTGTTCTCTTTGTGTCATGTGATAAGAAACTGAAAATCTCTGAGTTCTGGACTCTGTCAAACAAAACAAGACATTTGATGACATCAGAAATCACATTATCATGAGTCTTTTTCACTCTTTACTAACATTTTATGAACTTGGTGATTCATAGAGAACATAATCAGCTGATTATTGGTAATAAGAAATAATGATTATTTGCAACCCTGGAGATGTGTTTAGAAAACATGATCTCGGTCGAGGTTAAACTGGGTCATCAGTTGTTTTCATGCAACTTGGTGGTGAAACACTTTCCACATATTGAGAAACCACTGTAGAATCAAAGCGTAAGAGTTTAAACTACAATACAAGTTAATAGTCAACAAATCGACTGATTATCTGTTTTAAATCTGGATTTATTTTTGGCTGATATCAGAGGTTCATCAGTGGCCGGGCTACCTGCAGAGGAAGCCCAGCTGCAGCACATGTAACAGGCAGGAGAGCTTCATTTGGTCCCCGAACAGCACGGTCCCTGATCCGGTCTGAGCTCTGAAGCCCGGCAGCTCTCGGTCGTACTTGAACCAGAACCAGCTGAACATCTGGACCACGACCGAGGACAGGACCATGAGGCCAACCAGCACCCCGAACCAGAAGAAGTCCCCGCGGCTGTAAAACTCGGTGGCCACCCAAATGTCCGAGCCCCAGTCTACGAGGAAGGTACAGACTCCGATCACAGAGAAGATGAAGTCGATCCAGGAATATTCAGAGAAAGAAGCGCGCTCCATGACCGAGCCCATTAACTAGCTGGTCAACCGGTAAACCTGTTGCTGAGAAGCTAACAGTCAGCTAACGACGTGCACCGTTATTTCCCTCCCAAAGCGACTCCACATACTTCAACCCATTGAAGGAAAAAGTTATTTAAACTTTCACATTTCCAAAACAGCGTCATCTCACTCCATCAAACCACCATCAAACCGCGGCAGACATTGTTTGTGGGGAAAGCGTTCGCCTGAAAAGTTAATAGTAACTGCCATAGGAGCGAGCAGATGGTGTGTTTGTAATGATCCGTACTGAGCAGTTGTTAACCCCGCCCACCGCGGTTTATACGTATACGGACGCGTCGCAAAGTGCGGGATGGGAAGGTTTTAATATTTAAAGATCTCCACATATTGAAAACTTAAACGGTTAGTCGATTAATCAACTATTCAGAAAATATATGATAATTCCAGCTTCTCGATTGTCAATATTTGCTATTTTTGGTTCCACAGCACAGTAAACTGAACATATGTGGGTTTTAGAGCTGAAAACAGAAGCAAAGTTTGATCATCAACTGATCGTTTAAGAGTTTTTTCAAGAAAAAAAATGCCAAAAATGAAAAAGTTTTAGCTTCATATGTGAATATTTAATGTTCCTTAATTAAAACAATCAAAATCATTTTTAAAGATCATTATAAAAGAAATTTTAACATAATTTTTAAAATAATCTCAGCACTGACTGGTGGACAGATACAGACAATGGGAGCTGCTGCCTGAGAGACTAAACTCAGGCCACAGAATCGTAGTGTACAGAAGCCACGCCCCCTGCGGTCGCGGCCTATTGTATCACAGGAGCGCGTGTATGTGCCTCCGAAGCCTCGCGCCTCCCCTGTGTGCTCGCTTGGTTTTGGTCGGAGTCCACACTTCGGTAGCACACAAGCTAACACGATGTCGCGGGTGTATATCGGAAGGCTGAGCTACAGAGCCAGAGAAAAGGACGTGGAGAGGTTCTTTAAAGGCTACGGGAAGATTCTGGAAGTCGACCTGAAGAACGGGTAAGGTCGAAGCCCTTTATCCGTGTCTTGTTGAAGCTAACGTCCGCATGGGCCGCGCCGTGAACACAACATGCAGCCCGGGCCTTGTTGACTGCAGCGGGCCTAGCATGCTACTGCAACATTAACCAACCAGAGCCTTCGAAAATGTGGTTTAATGTGCGGCGAGGTATCAGTTTTACATACGTGATCGTTAACTCTACATTATTCGAAATTATAAATCGGTGTTGGCGGGCTTTTAGTATGATTCTTGCCCTGTCTCGACCACGGTTAGCAATGGTTGGCTAATGTTAGACGTGGCAATGTCACAGGCGGTTGTGTGTACTACAAGCCAACCGTTATCTAAATAAATGTAAGCTTACCCACACCCATGTGTAAAGACTGGATTGCTGGTACTTTTTACTGTTACCGTGCGTCTGTTGTTGTAGTTAAACAGTTAGCTACGTGCACAGCCTTCCTGTTACACCTGTTTGTCGGTTAGCTTCTGCATTTATTTAGAGGCCTGCAGTTAGAAGTCGATAATAAAATGAATTTGGTCTATGCTTATTACATCGAGTGGTCTGATTACTTCCTCGATGAATTGTTTGGTCTGTGAAATATCAGAAATCTGTGAAAGACTTCTTAAAGCCTGAGCTGGACATGTTCGGTTAGTGATCTCTGCATTACCACCAGGCCAAAACCAAAGAGTTTCAGTTGAAATGATGGAAGACAAAGAAGAACTGCATTTACTCAAGGGAGAGAAACTGGAACTTTTTGTTTGGCTTGAATATAACTCAAATTATTCAATTTCTGATGACCTCCAAATTAATTATTCAATTAATCCTCTTGTTTTTAGTACTATCATCAAACTAGCTTTTTACATGTGTCTGTTTGTACAAGCCACTTGAGCTTTACAACAGCTTTCTAACATTTATTTTTTTCTCACAAAATCAATGTGATTATAAGATGTAATGTTCCAGCTTCCAAACAAAGTCACATGTGTAAAAACTGAAGATTGTAGGTACTTTCTACTGTTAATGTTTGTGTTGTTGTAAAGGAGAGTTATGGCTACATGCAAAGCCTTCCTGTTATAATGGTCTGATGTTAACTTCTGCATTTATTTGAAGGGGCCTGAAATGAGAAGTTGGTAATCATCTTCAGTTGCAGGTCTAGTCAAAATTTAGTTAATGCTCTATTACTTTCGCAATAAGTCATTTGGCCTCTTAAATATCAGAAATCTGTTAGACCCATTGAAGCCCAAATTGAACATATTCAGTTAGCTTGCTTTGAATTACTAGCAGACCAAAACCAAAGAGTTTCAGTTTAAATGATGGAAGACAAAGAAGGTTTTTGGTTGTAAGTAACTCAAATTATTTGATTTTTGATGACTTCCAAATTAATTGTTCATCGGATCATCGAACTAACAATATTCTCACACCACACAAAATCAGTCTGAATAGGCGTAATGTTCCATCTTCCAAACAAAGTCACGTGTATATAAGACCTATATAGTTGTCACCGTATCAGTCGCCAATGCATCAACATTTTTATGACTATTGGCTATTGTTGTAGACAACATGAGTGCGTGTGTGTAAGGTTTATAAACCTCTGATCGGCACTATGTGTTTGATTATGAACATCATCACAATCTTTTGTTGTACCAGGTGAAAAAAAACACGTCCTCCTCCCCTCTGCAGGTATGGGTTTGTTGAGTTTGATGACCCCCGTGACGCAGACGACGCTGTGTATGACCTGAACGGCAAAGAGTTGTGTGGAGAACGGGTCATTGTGGAACACACCAAGGGACCTCGTCGTGATGGAGGCTATGGTGGACGGAGTAAGTGTCCAGAAGAGTGTTTGTTTTTATTTCACTTGAATTAATGTCATTGAGGAATTTCATTCATTACAGGGAATCATTGATCTAAATTTCAAAGGGGCAAAATTTTAAAGCTTGTCCTTGGTGGCTGATGTGCATTCAATTTATATCCTGGTGTTTGTGGTGAATCGTCCGGAAGAAACATTTGATGCTGTAGACGGTTCCTAGAGCTGAAGGATGTTTTGATACAGGACAAGATTAACCAAAAAAATAATATAAGATGTACCTTGATGATGATGATCCCCTGCAGAGAAATTCAAAGTGACCCAGCAGCACAAGTGGACAAACGTAACAAAGAAATAAAATAAGAATAGAACTTGAATCTAGAATAAATAAGATAAATTAGAAATACTATATACAATAACATACAAATGGAAGAGGCACTTCTGTACACATTCAAATATAAGAAAAGATTTAAGGATTTAGTAGTTGTTGCAGTTTGTCCTGGTTCTATTGTTATATATAGGTGTATAATATAGACACGTGATATTTGGATTAAAGACAGTCTTGTATATCGAGTAATGCCTTTTTGATCAACATTAAATTATCATAGAAATATCAACACCTGTGTCCATGTCAGCCAATGTTTAAATGCTGATATAGGTAACAGCCGATTTGATGAAAAAAATATGTGGTCAGTAACTGAAAGGCCTGGATCCAGGCTACAGCTAGGGCATAAAATTAGTCATGTTATTATATAACTATACAGTGTGCCATGAAGTAGAAAATAAGTATCAAGTAACATTTAATGTCTGTCTTGTCCAGCTGTACTAGTATCTCTAACTGCATCCCTGATGACTCAAGTCAATCATCCAGGTTAATTTGCACATCTTTCAATGACACATGGTTGTTTTCATTTCAGTTTTCCATTGTCTCTGAGCTGCACACACCCATCCACATCCCCAGTCTTAATCTCATTAGTATTTGCTGTTATTCTTCTGGTCTCAACACAGCTTCAGGTTTTTTTTGACGGCCTGTTTAACATATAGGCGTGTCTCAGTTTCCTGATAGGTCACTCCAGAGCAGCACTCTGTTTCATATTGTTTTGTTAATAGCGGAGCCAACAGAGTACGAGCAGCACTCACTGAGCAGTTCTCTCTCCAGGTGAGGGAGGAGGTTTCCCTATCAGTACTAATGATTAAACTTGTGTGCACCAGAGCCACCAATGACTTGACAAATCTTGGGTTTCCTTATGATGGATTGACAAACTTATAATGCAGCTACATGTGAATATGTGATGGGGAAATGGCTTAGTGATGGAAAGGAATATAACTGTCTTAATTTGAATATTGTAAAAATAACTCTGATTGTCAAATATCTTGTAATCTATTGATGTCTTATTCCGTTTTTTATTTTATTTAAAATGACTGTCAATTTAAAGGTAAAGATTTAACAAAGAACCTCAATGTTTTAATTGAAAGAGTCCTTTGCTGACTGCCTGCCCCTATTGCTGGCCATGGTGTCCCCCCTTTCCAAGAGTGTGGTTTGACCATTCTGGGCCCCTGGGCAGACCAAAAAAGGGAGCCATTGTGAATGAAGACCGCTTTTCCCATTAGGCCCAGGCCGGGTGGTGAGGATGCCATGGGGTTAGGAACAGATGTGGGTTCAGCTCTTATAGGTGCCTGAAAACAGAACATGTTTTGTAACAGTGAAATGTTTTTAGATAGGATAGCTTAGAAACTTGATTTAGTTCACCGTAAGTACTTCCTCCATCAGTTATGTTTTTGAATTTGAGTTGTTTTTTTCTTATTTAGAAAATAGGCCTATTGAACTTTTACCAAAATTTTAATAAGCTAAAATTGTGTTGTTTAGGTCTAGGCTTTTAAATAAAGCTTGTCAGCTTGTAGGAATAAATAAATAATTAGGTTTTTTTGTTTTTTTGTTTTTTTTTTAAAGAGGTTTTAATGAATTTTGTTTTTTCTTTTTGTAAGTTTTTTTCACCTTTTTCTTTCCCCTTTTTTGTTTCCTTTTCCCAAAGAGAATATTGAGATATTTCGTAGCGTGTAGCTTGGAGTTTAGTTGAACTGCATCAGCTCAGTTTCTCTCTGGTCCTCATTTCTCCTGTTCTTTCCTTGTTACCTTGAAAGGTGGATATGGGCGCTGGGGAAGAGACAGATATGGTCCACCTATAAGGACAGATTATCGGCTCATTGTTGAGAATCTTTCCAGCCGCTGCAGCTGGCAGGACTTGAAGGTAAGAAGCTTTTTCTTATGTAACTGCTATAAGTTTTTTTTGTTTGACATAAATAATGTTTAGCTGGTAACTCAAGTTTAGTCTCGTGTCTGCTGTGTAGTTCTGAAGAAATGAAAAATGTAGTCAGACCAGTTTCACTAGATTAATGGTGTCAGACACAATTATTCAGAGCTGTTTTTAATTGATGTTGAATTCCCAAAACAAGAAATATTGAAATAGATAAACTGAATGCTGACAAATATTCACAATTTAAAAAATAAAAACACAGAATTTACACAAAGACAAAATAACAAGTTAATGTGTAAAAATCAAGCACAGAGCTCTGATGACAAGGGCTACAACTCTCCATGTTCGACATTATTTTGGTTAATTTCTTTTTTCCTAGCTTAACATGACAATTGGTGTCATCATTTACTACTAATAATACCACTTATTTATCTTTTTAAGTATGATATTGTAATTTTGCAGTATGTGACTAAGTGTAGGACCAATAAAGAAATATCTTATCTCTTGTCTTATGTTTCCATGTCTGTGCAGGACTACATGAGACAGGCAGGGGAGGTGACTTATGCTGACACCCACAAAGGCCGGAGGAACGAGGGGGTGATTGAGTTCAGGCTCTACTCTGACATGAAGAGAGCTCTGGAGAAGCTGGACGGCACAGAGGTGAACGGCAGAAAGATCCGGCTCATCGAGGATCGACCTGGAGCCAGACGCAGCCGCCGCTCTTATTCTCGCAGTCGCAGCCGCTCCAGGTGAGAGACTTACTGCAGTCACACCTGGTTTCCTTTTTTGGGGGGGGGGGCTTTTTGTGCCTTTATTGATAGTACAGTAGGGAGACAGGAAACGGGGAGGCAGAGAGGGGGAATGACATGCAGCTAAGGGCTGTCCGATGCGGGACTCGAACCGGGGCCGACTGCAGCGAGGACTGTAGCCTCTACACATGGGGCGGATGCTCATCCAACTGGTGTATAGTGTTCACCTTTGCAGTTGGATGCTGAGCCATCTGACTGGTTGTTGCTGTAAATACTAAACTTTCTGTTTTTCTCAGGTCTCGCTCCAGGAGCCGCAGGTCTCGCAAGAGCCGCAGCCGCAGTGAGAGCAGCAGCCGCAGCCGCTCCCACTCCAGGTGAGAAACCAACCTCCACCGGGAGAATATGATCAGGGGTCTGTTGTATTACTGGACACGCACCAGTCTCTTTCTGCCCTGGTAACAGTTCTAACATTTCAACTCAGGATTTCTGCCAACAGTGATCTTCAATCTGACACCACTGCTCTTTTCCCAAGATATAAAACCTGCATGTCTCGCTGTGAGGAACTGTTTATATAATGTAACATGAGGTCTGGGATTGAACCTGAGTCACCTTCCTGTTGTGACTGAGTGAATGTAACTGAACTTTATAGTGACACTGATAAAGAAGCTGCATTTACAGAGTTCCTGCAGCATTGAGTGAAATTTAAGACTTTTTAACATAATTTTAAAACAACTTGGAGTGTAATTCAACACCTGTTTTTTTACAGTCATACCAACCAAAGAATGATGGGAAACCAGCAGGAACAATAAATTATTTATTATATCACATTTTCTTCAGTCTTCCACAGCAGAAATAACAGTTCCTGATGATATTATTAAGTTAACGTCACCTGGAAATGGATAAGTAGCAGAAAATGGATGGATGGATTAACCAATTAAAAACAACTGATTCATCTAAGTTTTTGTTAAAATAACCTCCATTATGAGATGAGGCTCCTAGCTACTGAAGCTAACAGTGTGCTACGTGTGCAACTTCAGTCTGCTGCAGCTAAACCCACTGACACAACAACCTGGTATTTTTAAGTAATATTGCTGGGCACAGAAAGTGACAAGAATTCAGATTTTTGTTGATTGAAGTGAAGAGTTTTTAATTAAACAGTTATTAAGTTCAGAAATATCTATTGTTATTGATTTAACTTGGATTGGTCACATCTGGCCAATACCAGATGTTTAACCTTCTCTTTTAATTAAATTTGTCAGGCAGTCCCAGCACTCTGTGAAAACACACGTTGTCCAGGTGCTCATCTGATCCTTGATCAATTCTGACATTGTCCTTTTCTCTCATCAACAACAGTTGTAATTTCTTTAGGTGATAAAATTGGATTTATAGTTGCACCCATGGTAGTAGTGGAAATGATTTCAAAGTTTTCTGAAGTGGTTGTTTCTTCGTTATAATGTAGTTGATCAAAAAAGGAATGAAACTAACACGTGGTTCTGTTTTTTTCCCGCAGGGCGGCGTCTCGCTCCCGCAGCCGATCTCGTAGCAAGAAGAACAAGGGCAAGAGCAAGAAGGAGGAGGAGGAGCGCAGCAACGGCGCCCAGAAGAGCAAAGACCGCAGCAGGAGCCGCAGCCCCAAGAGCAAAAAGATCAAGAAAGAAGGGAAGAAGGGCAAGAAGGACGACTCCAGGTCCAGGTCTCGCTCTCGCTCCAGGTCTCGTTCTAGATCAGGGATTAAGGATCGCTCCAGGAAGTCTGGCTCAAAGGGCCGCGAGCAGCCAAAGAGTGACGACGAGGGAGGCGAGCCAGAGAGGGGCTCTCGCTCTCGCTCCCGCAGCCCCGCTGAGTCCAAATCCAGAGCCAGGTCTAAATCCAAGTCCAAATCCAAATCCCGTTCCCCTTCACCTGCCAAAGCCCGCTCCCACTCCAGGTCTGCCTCACGGTCAGAGTCCCGTTCCAAATCCCGCTCCCAGTCTCGTTCTCGCTCTCGTTCCCGCTCCTAGTTCACATTTTGGACTGTTTGTCATGAGCCCTTATCCCAATTGCCCCCCCTCCCCACGTCCTTGACTTACATTCCCCAGACCCCACAACACTGCCCCCCCCCCCCCCCCCCTGTTTTTGATAACTAGCTGTAGAAAACCAGGCACTCGAGCTCGATGTCTTTTATGCACATGCTTCTCCATTTCATTTGACTTTTGACGAGCAGGTTTTTTCATTAGCGCTGTGTCGTATGGAGGTGCTTGTAAAATAACAGGGTGCAATCTCAGTTTTATAAGTTGAAATGATGGTATGGTCTGTGTCTTAGACTTTTTTTAATCAAATGTAGACGCACACTGTTTGTCAGTGTGCTGGTGGGAACATGTTCAAACATCTCCTCACCTCTGTGAAATCCTTGTATCATTTTATTTCTGATTAAAAATGCCTGTTCTGGATTTGTCTTGGGATGTCTGTGTGTGTTTGTTCTGGGATCAGATTCAATGTCGGGGAGGGAGACATGTTGACTTAACTTAGACAAGCTGTGACCATGGCAACAACTTTGAGACAGGCTAACAAACTTTTTTTTGCATATTGATAAGAAATGAAATGCAATATTTTGGGAGGACAGAATTCTTCCTAGGAATATTTTAGTGAACGTTCGCACTGTGTTTGGAGTGAAGTCATATAAGATCATTCCCATGTCCCCCAGGAGGCTATGTCTCCGATTTTGTAGTAAGTGGAGCCGCTAAAGAGGAAATGGGTTTATCTTCAGGGTAGTAGTACTTTACTATGACTTATGACTTAGTATGAGTTTTTATGACCTACTGTACTAAGTATTTTTATGACATGCTGACTTTTTAATGACTTATACTGTGACTGTTTAGACAATACTACAACTTTTATAACTTACTATACTATAACATTACCATACTATACTATGACTTATTATGCCTTAATATATTATTACTTTTCATGACTTTTAATACCTCAATATGCTATGAATTTTTGTACTATACTATACGACAACTTTTCATGCCATACTATACTATGAGTTTTTATAATTTTAAATGCCTATGACTTTTCATGCCTAACTATACTATGACATTTTATCCTGCACTATACTATGACCTTTCATGCCTTATTATACTATAACTTTTTATGAATTTTTATGCCTTACTATACTATGACCTTTTTATGACTTTTCATGCCTTACTATATTATAACTTTTTATGAATTTTTCTGCCTTACTATGATATGACTTTTTATGCCTTACTATACTATGACTTTTTATGCCTTACTATACTATGACTTTTGAGCACTTTCTTTAGTATGACTTTTTATCCTTACTATATTATGACTTTTTGCCTTACCATTCTATGACTTTTTATGCCTTACTATACTATGACTTTTTTTGAGTTTTTATGCCTTACTATACTATGACTTTTTATGACTTTTTATGCCTTATTATACTATGACGTTTTTATGACTTCTTATGCCTTACTATACTATGACCTTTTTATGACTTTTCATGCCTTACTATATTATAACTTTTTATGAATTTTTCTGCCTTACTATGATATGACTTTTTATGCCTTACTATACTATGACTTTTTATGCCTTACTATACTATGACTTTTGAGCACTTTCTTTAGTATGACTTTTTATCCTTACTATATTATGACTTTTTGCCTTACCATTCTATGACTTTTTATGCCTTACTATACTATGACTTTTTTTGAGTTTTTATGCCTTACTATACTATGACTTTTTATACCTTATTATACTATGACTTTTAAGGACTTACCTTATTATGACTTTTTATGCTCACTATAGTATGACTTTTTATGACTTCTTATGCCTTACTGTAATATGACTTGTATAACTTTGTATGCCTTACTGTATTATGACTTTTCATGTCTTTTATGCTTATACTATGACTTTTAAGGACTTACTGTTTTGTGACTTTTTATGCCATACTATACTATGACTTTTAAGTACTTACTTTATTATGACTTTATGACTTTTTATGCCTTACTATAATATGACGTTTTTATGACTTTTTATGCCTTACTATACTATGACGTTTTTATTACTTTTTATTCCTTACTATACAATGACTTTTTATGAATTTATATGCCTTACTATACTATGACTTTTTATGCCTTACTATACTATGACTTTTTATGCCTTACTATACTATGACTTTTTTTTATAAATTTTCATGCCTTACTATACTATGAATTTTTATGAATTTTTATGCCTTACTATACTATGACTTTTTATGACTTTTTATGCCTTACTATACTATGACTTTTTATGCCTTACTATACAATGACTTTTTATGACTTTTTATGCCTTACTATACTATGACTTTTTTTAATAAATTTTCACGCCTTACTATACTATGACTTTTTATGAATTTTTATGCCTTACTATACTATGACTTTTTATGCCTTACTATATTATGAAGTTTTTATGACTTTTTATGCCTTACTATACTATGATGTTTTTATTACTTCTTATGCCTTACTATACTATGACTTCATGGCTTTTATGCCTTACTATACTATGACTTTTTATACCTTATTATACTATGACTTTTAAGGACTTACTTTATTATGACTTTTTATGCTCACTATAGTATGACTTTTTATGACTTCTTATGCCTTACTGTAATATGACTTGTATAACTTTGTATGCCTTACTGTATTATGACTTTTCATGTCTTTTATGCTTATACTATGACTTTTAAGGACTTACTGTTTTGTGACTTTTTATGCCATACTATACTATGACTTTTAAGTACTTACTTTATTATGACTTTATGACTTTTTATGCCTTACTATAATATGACGTTTTTATGACTTTTTATGCCTTACTATACTATGACGTTTTTATTACTTTTTATTCCTTACTATACAATGACTTTTTATGAATTTATATGCCTTACTATACTATGACTTTTTATGCCTTACTATACTATGACTTTTTATGCCTTACTATACTATGACTTTTTTTTATAAATTTTCACGCCTTACTATACTATGACTTTTTATGAATTTTTATACCTTACTATACTATGACTTTTTATGACTTTTTATGCCTTACTATACTATGACTTTTTTTTTTATAAATTTTCATGCCTTACTATACTATGACTTTTTATGAATTTTTATGCCTTACTATACTGTGACCTTTTCTGAATTTTTATACCTTACTATACTATGACTTTTTATGCCTTACTATACTATGACTTTTTATGACTTTTTATGCCTTACTATACTATGACTTTTTATGCCTTACTATACTATGACTTTTTTTCATAAATTTTCATGCCTTACTATACTATGACTTTTTATGAATTTTTATGCCTTACTATACTATGACTTTTTTTTAATAAATTTTCATGCCTTACTATACAATGACGTTTTTATTACTTTTTATTCCTTACTATACTATGACTTTTTTTATACATTTTCATGCCTTACTATACTATGACTTTTTATGACTTTTTATGCCTTACTATACTATGACTTTTTTTTAATAAATTTTCATGCCTTACTATACAATGACGTTTTTATTACTTTTTATTCCTTACTATACTATGACTTTTTTTATACATTTTCATGCCTTACTATACTATGACTTTTTATGACTTGTTATGCCTTACTATACTATGACTTTTTTTTAATAAATTTTCATGCCTTACTATACTATGACTTTTTTCAATAAATTTTCATGCCTTACTATACTATGACTTTTTATGAATTTTTATACCTTACTATACTATGACTTTTTATGCCTTACTATACTATGACGTTTTT